ACTAAATTAATAAAGGACTGCTGAGTAAACCAGAACCTAAAGCAGATATTTAACTGTGGAGAGAGAAAATATTATATTATATTATATTATATTATATTTCAATAAAATAAAATAATACATTTAAAAAACAAATAAATAGCCAACAAACTTATTATTTGTTAGTGTTTGATTGTGATTTTACACAGTATGTGTGTGGTCAGGTTTTGTCTGCATTGTCGGAAACAGAAAATGGTCCCCATGGAAAACTGCTTAATAAACATTCAGAGTGTTTTAATTAAAATTTGAAGGCAGAAAGATTTGTGTGAGGGTTACGTTTAGGGTTATAGAAAATGTCACTGGCTCAATGTACTGTGAGAGTCAATGTACTGTAAAATGTAATGTAAAAGTCCTTATGATAAAAATAAATAGATGCAAGAAAAAAGCACAAAAGAAAATTGTCAACCAAAAATAGGCAATAATATTATCATTACTAAATTAATAAAGGACTGCTGAGTAAACCAGAACCTAAAGCAGATATTTAACTGTGGAGAGAGAAAATATTATATTATATTATATTATATTATATTATATTATAGTATATTATATTATATTATATTATAGTATATTATATTATATTAATATTTAATGTTGTTAAGATAATAGGGTGGCTGTTGTATATGTTGTTGTTGCTTATAACTGGCAATTAATGTAGAAGAGCTATTTGTCTTCTTTTCTAAGTTAAGGAGCTCAGTCTTGTGGTTTGTTTGTTGCTAAATGACTGGCTACTCTTCACAGACCAGAATGTTTATCTCCAGACCAAGGGAGTAAATTTCATTTAACAGTAGCCCCCATCGCCCCCGCAATTTACGCCCCTGCTCCAGACACAGACACCTTACAAAATGTTTGCCCACAAAAAATTTTTTTGTTTTTTTTTGTTTTGTTTTTTGTTTTATTTGTTTTGTTTTTTGTTTAATGAACAGGACTGACAATGGTTGTTGTTGTTGTTGCATATGCAAATTCAAAGCATGTTAATTTTAAGAAGGTTCATGATTTGAATTTGTTGGTCTCTCCTTTAAACACACGGGCCAAATGGTTTCACATTCACATTAAATACTGGTTCCTAAAACAGTTAAATTGTGTATGTATTGCATTGGATCATTAAGAGAGAGAGAATATTTATGTAATCATACCCATTGTAAATTAGTGCTTGATGGATTGGTATGAATCATAAAACTCCATGAGCAGTGACAGCTGTACAATGCATTCCAGATACTCCATGAACTAATGTCACCACATGCCACGGTCCTCACACACCATAACAGTCAGTCAGGGGTCATGCCATTAGATAACAACCCACAGTATTGAAGAGATTAGCATTGGGTGCAAAGGACACGTGACAGGTGTACTGTTATAAACTGTGTTTCAAAAGGTGTCTGTGTTTTTCTGACCACTCCTCTTCTTCTGAGGAATGTGTGTTTGGAACTACAGAATGCATATTAGAAATGGCCACTCATCTCTGGTTGGGAAAGGTCACACTGGTACCCCTTTCTCTGTGATACACACATACTTGAAACACTGTTTACTCATTTATCTATGCCTCCCCTCTCACACCTTATAAACTTTTTTTTATCCTTTATCAGATTATTCAAGTGACATAACGTCATTTGCCTCTATCCAAAATGCAATATAAGGCATACAAAATTCAGACTGGGTCAAATACATTTAACATGAGTAGATGTTATGTGGAATGGGGCTGTACATCCATGTAAACAGTCTGTATATGGTGCAGTGATTTGTTCTGTTGATTTGTTATATTGAAGTATCGTGTTGGTGATCAGAGAGTTTATAATGCGTCATTGTAGGCCTATAAAGAATGTTGAGATATCTGTACTGTGTCACCTGTGTACGGGAGCATTAATCAATCAGCTTCAAATATATAAAAATAAAACCTGATGCAATCCATTATTAGCTAGATCAGTATAAATTTACACATCATTCTTCTTTAAAAATTCCCTCACATACTGCCAATGGCTTTTGAAGAACTGTTCAACAAGAGGTTAATGTTGAGTAACTTACATTTTAACAGCACACAGTAGTTGCTCCCTTTGGTGGGAACTTCAATGCTGTGTCAGGAGCTGACGCTATGGGTAACGCGTCAGGGTGTGACAGTGTCTGAAGCATGTCATCTCTTTTGGCAGATAAATTGCCCATATATGATGGAAGTATTTCTCAGCTTGAAGGCAGGTTGTTTTATGAACTGCACCCGCATGTGGTGGAGTTAATATGGCAGAGCAGAAGTGGAATTGTTCAACTCAAGCATTTGTTTGATTCTAAATAATCTCATAATTGTTTTTTGTTTTTGTTTTTGTTTTTTTTTGGACGTGTTTCAGAAAATGTGGTGGTCATGTTGATCCCCCCCATGGCATGCAATCACAAGATGGTAAAATTACAAATACTTGACTAAACTATTCAACCATACAAAATTTAAAAACAGATCAAAACAAGATTATAATAATTTATATTATATATATATATATATACATACACGTGTGTGTGTGTGTATATATA